CCCGCCCCGCCCCGCGCACTCACAGTCGGGGCAGCAGCCGTTGAACGCCATCCGGCAGATGCCGCAGTTCTCGTCGTTCGCCACCCACAGCCAGGACGCGACCCCGTGCCAGCTCCGCACGCGCACCCGCATCGCCGCCGCCAGGGCCGCGCCTCCGCCGCTCGAACACCGCCTCTTCCGCTTCCGGCGGCGGCGCAGCGCGGCCGGAAGTGCAGGCCCCGGAGCGGAGCCGCCATCATGGCCGACAAGATGGACATGTCGCTGGACGATATCATTAAGCTCAACCGCAGCCAGCGCGGGGCCGGCCGGGGCGGCGGCCGTGGCGGCCGAGGCCGGGGCGGCGCCACCCGCGGGGGTGGGCCCGGCCGGGGCGGCGTGGGAGCCGTGCGAGCGGGAGGCGGCGGCCCCGTGCGGAACAGGCCGGTGATGGCCCGGGGCGGCGGCAGGAACCGGCCCGCGCCCTACAGTCGGGTACGGGACGCGGCGGCGGCGGCGACGGGCGGGAGCGGGGCCGCCTGCGGGGCTCGGCGGCGGCGCGGGACGGGGAACCGGGCAGGGCTCTTCGGCGAGGCGGGATGGGGCGGGCGGGTGGCCCTTTGTCCGCTCCCTGCGGCGCGGGCAGCGGGGCCGGCGCTCTGCGGTGCCCCGGCGCCGGTCAGCGAGGTACCGGTCTCGTTGCAGCCGAAGCAGCTCCCCGAGAAGTGGCAGCACGACCTGTTCGACAGCGGCTTCGGGGCGGGGGCCGGCGTGGAGACCGGCGGGAAACTGCTCGTCTCGAACCTGGACTTCGGTGTCTCGGATGCGGACATCCAGGTGGGGGCTCGGGAGCGGCGCCGCGGGGGATGTTCATGGGGGGTTTCATTCATAGCGTCGGGGTAGGGCACACCAGGCAGCCGCGGGAGCGCCGCAGGTCCTGCTCCCTCCCTGCGCGGACAGAAGAGCCCCGGGTGAGTTAACTCTGCATCAGTGGTGAGGTTTGTGCCACGAGCCCTCATCCTGCAGCGGCTCTGGTGATCCTGAGGGGCTGTAGTTGGGAGCAGCCACCATTGCCTGTGGGGCGCTCATGGTGTTGTAGGGTCTCTGCCATGGCGCAGGGGGGAAGGTGCTGCTGTTTTGCTGGATCCAGCCACAATGGGAGAATTGACCATAAACTGCTCAAACTCGAGGTCTGTGTAGTTGCAGCGATGCCGGAACTGTGCTGCGTGTACAGCCGCACGCCCTGGGTGTACAGGTCCTGGTTGTGTAGCTTTGCTGAGTGTTGAGGTGTTCCATGGGTGTACCTGGGAGGAGTTATCTGTGAGGGGTTACCTGTGGTACCCACTGTGTTGTTTTCTAGCCAAGTGACGTCCTGTGCTCGTGTCCCTTCTTTCAGCCGTGCTTTGGGTAAGAACCTGCTGGGTTCTCCTGGTTGGGTGTCGCTGTGCTCTGTCTCCATACCATGGCATGGGGCTCCCCTGGTGGGGAGGGCACCGGCACCAGCAACACCTGCGAATACCGGGGCTGTATTGGTTCCGTCATGCTGTGAAGCGCTTTCTTTTGGAATGGTTTCTGGTCCTCACATCCTGACCAGGGAAAGCAAGCAACTGCAGCAGGCAGCTGCCTTTGTTGTCGGTTAATTCATTCGGTTGCTCCGTGTGCCAGTCTGGCTGTGCCTGACGGATTGGAAGGGAGCTTTTTGAGGTCACCTTGTTACTGGGTAATGCACTTAAAACCTGCCCTTTACCCCTGTAAGTGCAGATTTGGTTTCCGTAAGTGTGTTGCTCTGTGAAGTGACCTCAGTGTGACCAGCTCGTGTGCTTCCTGCAGCCGTTGAGATTCACTTTTTCTGCTGTTGGCTCTGACTGATGTGTGGATGAATTTCCACTCAGGGTTATTCAGCAGCAAAGTTGATTTAATGGCTTTGCACCTATTTGTTGTTACTCATTCTATAACGGAGCGCTGCCTCAGGTGTATGATGCCTTGCTTTGTTCCTGTGTTAGTCATGTCACTAACAAGGTTCAGCAGGTGTACAGCAGGCAGGAGTGGCTGGAAGGAGCCTCGGATGTGCGGAGCTGCGCAGCGCAGACTGAGCCTGGCTCTGGGAAGCTGCTGATGAGTGCTGGGAAACGTTCACCTCTGGTGCATGAGCACAGGGAGGAGCAGAGCCGCAGCCCTGCTGAGCACGGTGTGCTGGGGAGGTGAAAGACGTGTGGTGCTGCGGCCACCACAGCGGGGCTGCGGTGGTGCTGCGGCCACCACAGCGGGGCTGCGGTGGTGCTGCGGCCACCACAGCGGGGCTGCGGTGGTGGCTCCACAGTGGGTCCAGCAGGAGGTGACTGTTCCCTCTGGGCAGTAATGGGGCAGATATTGAGCTTTTGAGGCATGGGGTGCCGGGGTACCTTGTGAAGGGGACATGTCCTGTTGACATCTCAACGTAGCACCTGCGAAACAAAATCGGTGGCTCCATTTGCTGCCTCTTCATTTCCATCCTTTGGGGCAGCAAATGACGTAGAAGTGTAGACTGGTTTGGGTTGAAAGGGAACTTAAAGCCCATCCAGTTCCAGCCCCCTGCCACGGGCAGGGACACCTTCCACTAGAGCAGGTTGCTCCAAGCCCCTGTGTCCAACCTGGCCTTGAACACTGCCAGGGATGGGGCAGCCACAACTTCTGTGGCACTCTGTGCCAGTGCCTCAGCACCCTCACAGGGAAGAGCTTCTGCCTAAGAGCTCATCTCTATCTCCCTTCTGTCAGTTTAAAACTATTCCCCTTATCTTGTCACTACATGCTCATATAAAATGAGACTTAGTTCAGTAGAGGATGTTCTTCATCCCAAGTTTTGGGGTATATTCCTATGGGCTGTGCTTCTAAATTGCACCTGATCTGATAAAGATTTAGTTGGGGGAGAAAGAACTTCAGCACAATGAAACTGTGGCCATCTTTATATGTGTTCATAGGCTGTTCTTCCTCTGTGACATGGGTCTGGATTATTTTTATTAGTCACTCTTTGAGTCAGCCTCAAGGCAGCGTCCCTTGAGCCTACTCTGCTGCTGTGAACATGTGCCTCACATGTGGTGAACTTGAAGTCCCTCTTGGCTTTGACACCTGTGGCACCTCCCTGCTGGGGTTGTGCTCCCTCTTTCACTGGTCCTTTGTCTGAGTTGTCCATAATGATTTGAAAGGCACCTCTGGTGGTGTGCGTAGGGATGGGCCGGCACCATCCTGGGCTGCGCAGTGTTCGCGGCACTGACGAATGTCTCTGCTCTTCCCCTCTTTCTCAGGAGCTCTTTGCAGAGTTTGGAACCTTGAAAAAGGCAGCCGTGCACTATGACAGGTCTGGCCGCAGCCTCGGGACAGCGGACGTGCATTTTGAGAGGAAGGCGGATGCGCTGAAGGCGATGAAGCAGTACAATGGCGTCCCCTTGGACGGTGAGTGCGTGGCCGTGGCGCCTGCCAGCACCTGCATCCCTCCTGCACGTCTCCTGCATCCCTCTTGTACCCCACATCCTGCTCATACGAGCCCCCGGGCTGCTCTTCTTGCAGGGCGCCCCATGAATATCCAGCTGGTCACGTCACAGATCGACACACAGAGAAGACCAGCACAGAGGTGAGTGTTGAGCACCCAGTGCAGGGCAGGAACCTGCCTGGGCCCTCTCCTGTGGAATCTCTGTGGGTTAACCACCAGCCACTAAATCAGCTGCTTTTGAAAACTGGCAGTGTAAATAGAGGTGGCATGACCAGGAACCGCGGGGGTTCGGGATTTGGTGGTGGTGGCGGCAGCAGGCGAGGCACTCGTGGTGGAAACAGAGGGAGAGGCAGAGGAGCTGGAAGAACTTCCAAACAGCAGCTCTCCGCAGAGGAACTAGATGCACAGCTGGATGCTTACAATGCCAGGGTAAGTGCTTCCCACAGCATCTCCTCCTGGGAAATGTGGCAGCCCAGAGTCAGCAGGAAGAGGTTTTTCATAGAATCCCAGCCTAGTTTGTGTTGGAAGTGACGTTACAGCTTACCCAGTTTCAACTCCCTGCCATGGGCAGGGATACCTTCCACTAGAGCAGGTTGCTCCAAGCCCCATCCAGCCTGGCCTTGAACACTGCCAGGGATGGAGCAGCCACGGCTTCTCTGGGCAGAGAACATTTTCCAGGTTTTGGGATTAACACCAGCTCCCTCTAAAGGCAGGCAGTGCCTCGGTGCAGTGTTTGGCTCTGCTCTCCACAGCAGTTGAGCAGCTGCTGTTGCTGGCAGCTGGGAAGCTGTTTGCAGGACAGCTGCAGTGAGCAGTAGCTGCAAACAGAACCCCCAGGGATAACGGGCTGTGAAAAGGGAAAAGCAAAAGGCAAAAACAGGAGTCTCTGCCCTGTGGGTGGATTAAAATCTTAATAGAGAACCGGGGTCGTGTGTGTAGTGTAGGAATGGGTGAAGTCCCAGTGAGAGTGCAGAGTGGGATGAGTGGAATTGCAGATGGTGGCTGGGGGAGGGGGGAGGAGCAGCGCAGCAAATCTCACTTGTGCCCTTCTGTTGTGGGGCAGCTGCCCTCTGGGAGCTCCAGGGCCGGCAGGGGTGTGGGAGCTGCGTGTGCCCCGCGGTGACGGCTGCTCTCATCTCCTCTCTTCCAGATGGACACCAGCTAAAGCGGCGGGCACAGGGAGGATGCGGCTGTGGCTCCTGGCTCCTGGCGGGGCTGTGGCCGCCACCTGGGGATGGGATTTGTTTTATTTTCGTTCTGGGATAGGTTTTAAACTCCTGTAAAGGTTTTTTTTAATTCCGAGCAGACCCGTTTTGTACCGAGTTATTTTTGGGATAAATTTTACTGTTGCTGTTGGGCCGAGGTGGCTTTTTCACCTTCGCCGCAATAAACTAGAACCGTGTCTAGAGCTGTGGATGCCGCCCCCCGCGCGCGCCTTCCCGCGCCCCGCCCTGCGGCGCTCTGCTCCTCCGCCCCAACTCTATGGTCGGCCCCGCCATCGCGCGGGAATCCCCCCGGGCCAATCAACGCGCCGGGCTGTGGCCGGAAGTGAGGCGAGAGGCTCGGATAACGGGAAGTGACGGGCGTGTCCCGGAAGTGCGGGGGCGCGCGGGCGGCTGGGCGGATCCCGCGGCGGTGTCAGCGGAGCGCGGTCGAGCGGCGCCGGTAGGAGCGGAGCGGGCGGGGCGGGACGGGGCGGGCGGGGCGGCGGGCACCGGGGAGGGGGAAGGATCCGGCCGCGGGGCAGCGCCTCCGCCGCGCGGGGTCGGGTGGGGCCGGGCGGGGCCGGGCCGGGCGCGCAGCACCGCCTGTCCCGGGGCCGCGGCAGGATGCGGGCCCGGGGCCCCCAGTGCCCTTGTGCGACCTTCCGAGCGCCGCGGGAAGGCGCTGGGCCGCTCCGGGGCAGGGCTCTTGGGGCGCGGAGCCGCGTTAAGGGCGAAGCGCGGCCGGGTTCGGGGGTCGCGCCCCCGCTGGAGCAGGGTCTGCTCCCGGCCTCTTCCCGGGGTTCCGCCGCTGCCCGCGGGGCGGGGGGAGCCGGGGCGCGGGCCCTCGTTTGCCTTGAACAGGTTTTCCATAAATAGTTTCTAGTCATAGAATGAGGGGCTCGGAAGGTTTCCTTCCGTGTCAGGGCAATGAGCCCCTTTGTCCCCGCGGTGCCGCACGTTAAAGTAGCGGGGGCATCGCCGTGCGCGGAGGCTGCAGCTCGGCTCCTCCGAGGGGAGTCGGCCTCTCCGGCCTCCCCAGCTTCGCAGCAGGTCTGGAAGTTGTAACTTCCTTTCACTGAGAGGAGCTCCCAGTCACGTGAAGGGGGCGAATTGTTGTTGCCTTGAGGGTTCGGGCCGTGGCCGCGCTGCTGCTGCTCTGCCCGCCCGGGTGCTCCTGGTCTCGCTCAGCAGGGATGGTTTCGCTGCCGTTCTTCGTTGTACAGACGGGCCACGAGCCGGTGGTGTCCGCGCTGCAGCCGTTACCTCGGTGTGCGTTTGCACCCTGGGGACAGGGTTGGAAGATTCACATGCGGAACTCTGCTCACTCCTCTGTTTTTGCTCTTGACAGCTCCTGCCTTGCAGGTGCGCTGCGGAGCAGGGCTCTGCCACCAGCAAAAGGGAAAACTAAACCAAAGCACGACATGTCCCAGCTGCCGAGTGCCCGGGAGGCAGCAGCTGGTCCCAGCATCCTTTATCCCAGCGCTGTGAGGGGATTCGGGAGTTCTGCAGGATGCTCCCACACAGTGACTGGTGCAGCGGTGTTATCTGGGTGTCCCCTTGGAGCCCAGATTCCCGGGTGGTGTCAGAGGCAGCCCTCACCTTGGGAAGCATCAGCGGGTCCCTTTCAGCCCCTCACCTGCTGCTGCCTTGGGGGTATCCGAGCCCCATTTATTCCTGGTCCCCCTCGGTGGTGCCGCTGTGTGCAGGGTGGCAGCGCAGCCTGGGCTGGGTACCGCAGCTCAGGCTGCTTGACCCCGCAGTGCCGCAGCGGCTGGGATAAGCAAACAGATCCGGCGCAATCCACTGGAAATGAGCCCGGCAGAAACGGCTCTGCACTGAATTCCAGCCGAGCGGCTGCCTGAGCCTCCCCTGTGCTGCGGGAATGAGGAAGGCTGGGATGCGGGATTGGCACGTCTTGTGTCCGAGGCTGCCCCGTGGCCTGTGGACATCCGGAGCCATTGGCTCATGAGGAGGCTCGGACTGACCCGGCTCCCACTGGTGCTGCGGGCTCTCGTCCTAGGCTGAGGGAGCCGCTGCTCACCGCTGCAGACGGGCAGGGCTGGTCCCCCGCAGTTTCCCTCTTGGGCAGGAGATGGGGCTCTCGCATTCGCTGCTGCCGGCTCCTGGCTCCTGCGCCGTAATGCCGACAGAACCCGTGAGGAACGGCTGGCCTGGCAGAGGCAGTGGATCCCCAACGGGAAGCGATTCGGCCTCCTGCTGTCTTCCGCAGGCTTCTGTGGCGCCGGGCACAGCTCAGGGGGTGCCTCTTGCAGAGCAGTGGAGGCACCAGCTCCAGTGTTCAGCCACTTCGCTGAGCCTCAGGAGCCAGAGAACCACCACACACGGCCCCTGAGCATCTCCTTGGTGTCAGGAGGAGTTGGTGAGGAATATCCTTCCAAACACGCTGAGGCCTGAGGCTGAGCTCCGAGAGGCAGCAGGGCCTGGGGCAGGTCAGCAGCATGCAGGAAGGCTTTCCCTAAGGAGCTGAGCCCTTGGCAGGGCTGTGGGCATGTCCCTCTCCTCCATGTTGGTGCCCTTGTGGGGCAGTTCTGTTCTCTCCCAGCAGTGCAGTGGCTGCTCATTCACCATCCCAGGCTCTGGTTTGCTGACCTGAGCTGTAATAACAGCTTTGTCCCAGAGGCTGAAGGTTGAGGCCGAGGCCCTGATGATGGTTGGGATGTGCTGAGTTCTCTGCCATCTCAGAGCTGGTTCCCACCACTGCTGCTCCTGGGGAAGCCTGATGGAAGAGCCAGACTGGGGTTTGTGTCTCCAGGGCTTCCCCAGGGAGCTGCACCCTGCCTTGGCCTGAGCTGCCGTTGATACAGGGCTTTGTGTTGGTCTCAAGGGCTGTTTTCTCTCCCTCATGGGTTTCCATTGTCTTAGCTATCCCGTGAGGACCTGGGTGGTTCTTGAGGAACCCATGGAGGGGGGTGATTGTGTCTTGAGCTCTGGATCCCAGGGTGAAGGCTAGAGATGCAGGAATGGAACCAAAGAGCTGGGCCTGTGGGGTGTTGGGTTTTGGGGTTGTTCTGTGCCCTCTGTGGCACGGTTATTGCTAAATACCTGCGGTGGGAGGGGTTACCCCAACGGAGCTGCTGTGTGGGAGGAAGCTGTTACCGGACTATTGCACCCGGGGTTGGTTATCGATGAGCGGTGGCTCCGGGTGAGACCAAAGAGTGCATTTCTCAGCCCCACAGGGCCTGCAGGACATGAGCTGCTATTTCAGCTGCCAGAAATCAGCACTCACACCATGGCTGCTCCTGTGTGAGCATCATCCAGACCTTGTGCCAAGCCCTTGTGATGACCCCAGAGTGTCACACCACCCCCCACCTTTGGTGATAAACCTTACTCAGGCTTTAATACCCAGAAATACCAGTTGCATCCATTGCAAGTGTCCTGCCCCCAGACACACCAGGAGGCTGCCAGGCCAGGACAAGTCTGTTCTCAGGTTTGGCAGTGGGCAAGGGGGAGGGAAGGAGCCCCAGGAGCTGGAATGTGCCTCACCCCAGAATTGGAGAATTTGGATCTTTTCAGTTGGAAAAGACCTTTAGGACCATCAAGTCCAACCGTTAACCCAGCAGTGCCAAGGCCACCACTAAACCTTGTCCCGAAGTGCCACATCTACACGTCTTTCAGATCCTTTCAGGGACGGTGACTCAACCACTTCCCTGGGCAGCCCGTTCAGTGCTTGATAACACTTTTAGGGAAGAAGCATTTCCCAATATCGACCCTAAACCTCCCCTGGTGCAACTTGAGCCCGTTTCCTCTTGTTGTGTCACTTGTTACTTGGGAGCAGAGACTGACCCCACCTCGCTACAACCTCCTTTTTGGTAGTTGTAGGAATGAGAAGGTCCCCCTGAGCACCTCAATGTCTCTCTTTTAGTGAGGAGCCCAGAGCTGAACACAGGATTTGAGGTGCAGCCTCACCAGTGCCCAGCACAGGGAAACAGTCCCTGCCCTGGCCCTGCTGCCGCACTGGTGCTAACACAGGCCAGGATGCTCTTGGCCTTTCTGGCCACCCAGGCACAAGCTGGCTCTTACTCAGGCACTGTTGACCAGCAGCGCCAGGCCCTTTCCCATGGGCAGCTTTCCATCTGCTGTTCCCCAAGCCTGGAATTGCGTGGGGCTGTTGTGACCCAAGTGCAGGACCCAGCACTGAGCCTTGTTGCCCTCAGCCCCTCAATCCTGTGTCCTGGCAGAGGGGCTGGTCCCGGTTCTCCCACCCCCTTTCCTTTCTCCTCTGTGTTTGCTGACACATCAGCTGTAGCCTTCTCTTCTGCAGAGGTGTGCAGAATTTCACCTCCTGTGCCTCATTCCCTCCTTTGCCATCCCCAGCAAAACAGGCAGGATATTTATGGCACAAGAGGTGAGTGGGGCCGGGGGGCAGCTCCGCTGTGATGGTCACTGCAGGTGTGGGGAGAGGCGGCTGTGCCGCGGGTGCAGGTCACGCGTCAGCCTGTGTTCAGGTGCGTTGCGTGTGTTGTGCTCCTACCAAATGTTGCAGTTCTTGATCCATGTGGAAGCCAGATGCTGCAGCAGCAAGTGCAGCCCTGTGGTCTGTTGTGAGTTGTTTGTTGGCGTGTTGCTCCATGCGGGACTATTGAATGGGGGTGGGAATGCCAGCTAATGGCAGAAACACCTGGATCTGTCAGCAGGTCACTGGTGAAGGGTTTTGTTTGCAGAGCTTTGTTTCCAAAGCTGTCACTGGAAGTGTTTTAAGACTTCCGAGGGTCCAGGCTGACGTTTGCTGTTGGTGCCGCTGGGCTCAGCACCCACAGGAGCACCAGGAACCTCCGTGGGTGCCGCTGCCTTGTGCAGTTCTTTACCTGGGTGCTGGCATTGCCCCCAGGGTTAGGGTTGGGGTTAGGGTTAGGGTTGGGGTTAGCAGCGGTGATTCCCGGTGGGAGCCTCCGCAGCCGAGCCAGGCGCTGCGGTTTCGATCCCTTCTCTGGAGACACGGAGCTTCGGGAAGGGCCGAGTGGGGGCTGCACCGAGCAGGAGCCTCGTGCTCCTGCCCCGGCCCCCAACTCGGAGCGGCTCCGAGGCACGAGCTGTGAGCTCTGCGCTGCAGCAGAGGCTCTGGGCACTTGTGCCAGTGGTGGGGCAGGGCTGTTCTCAGCTGGAATTGTACGTTTTAGAGAGCAGAACTGAACTGGGGTTGTTGTGGTCTCAGGTTTATTACGAGATTGCCCGCTTGTCTTGTGGAGCAGCGCATCCTCCCTATGGCTTTGGGTGTTTACTTGTTCCAGCTTATGAGTAAAGCACCGAGGCTGAATTTTCCCCTCTCTGTGGGCCTCCATGGGCTGAACATGAGCCTTGGTCTGGAGGAGCCTGCAGGGGCTGCACCAGAGGCCTTGGCAGGGCTTTGTCCCTGCAGGGGCTGTGCCACAGGCCCTGGGCAGGGCTGTATCCCTGCAGTCACGGTGCTGAGGAGGCCTGGCTGGAGCAGGTGGGTGCAGTTTCACTTCTCCTTCCCACTGCAGTGTACGTGGTGCGTGTGAGGATGGCAGAGCAGGAGCCCACAGCCGAGCAGCTGGCCCAGATCGCAGCTGAAAATGAGGAGGACGAACACTCTGTCAACTACAAGCCCCCTGCCCAGAAGAGCATCCAGGAGATCCAGGAGCTGGACAAGGACGATGAGAGCCTGCGAAAGTACAAGGAGGCGCTGCTTGGTGCCGTCACTGTGAGCGCAGGTGAGCCGAGGACGTGGCTGTGCCTCGCTCAAGCTGCAGCTCCATCAGTCACCTCCTGCCTCCTCCCTGCTCCCGGCCAGGAGCAGAAAGACATGTCTGTGCTCCCTGGGCTGATCTCCAGCCCTTGGAATAAGGTGCAGGAACTGCAGGTGTCACACTGCCCTTAGAGGGGGCTGCTCATGGGGACACTGTGGGCTGGCCCCACATGGTGGGGACCTCGGCCAAGGGGGACATTCTTCTCACTGATTTTCTTGCTCTTTCTAGAAGAGCCCTGGAAGGAAAAGGGTTTGTGTTGGCTGGTTTTAGGGAAAGGTGTTTAACAGCCTTTGCACTTGTCTTCTAGATCCCAATGCTCCAAACGTGGTGGTGACCAAACTGACTCTGGTCTGCACAACTGCCCCGGGCCCTCTGGAGCTGGACCTGACAGGTGAGCCAGGGAAGAATTCCAGCCCTTCCCAGGGAGAGCCACTTGGAGCAGAGCCTGTGGGAGCCACTCCCTGTTGGGAATGCCTGTGCTGCAGGCATGAAGGGTTTGTCCCACAAGCCTAGGCTGGGGCCTCCGCAGCCCTGTGCGGAGCAGCCGTCCCACTCCAAGGGTCACCGCCTGCTCCTGCAGACACTGTCCTCAACACCCCAGAGCACAATACAGAGGGACCCTGAGCAACCCTCTCCCTTCTCTGTAGGTGACCTGGAGAGCTACAGGAGGCAAGCATTTGTGCTGAAGGAGGGTGTGGAATACCGGATAAAAATCTCCTTTCGGGTAAGAACGGAGGTCTCAGAACAGAAGAACGAATGAACACTGGGATGCTGCAATCCCAGAGGGATTCCTGACCCCAAAAAGGGGGGTGATGGGGGAAGCAGTCTCCTGCTGTGGTGGGGTGGGCCATGTGCTGAGGAGGTTTGAGCCTCCACCTTAGTGGAAGATGTCCCTACCTGGGGCAGGGGGTTGGAACTGGATGAGCTTTAAGGTCCCTTCCAACCCAAACCAGGCTGGGATTCTGTGGATGTCTGCACAGTCCTTGCTTGTCTCCCTGCAGGTTAACAGGGAGATCGTGTCAGGGTTGAAGTACATTCAGCACACGTTCCGGAAAGGAGTGAAGAGTAAGTGCTGCTCCGAGGCGGGTGCTGCTTGTGAGGGGTTCTGCTTCGTCTGCTGGGGGGGCAGCCAGTCCCAGGCACCGCAGGGTGATTTGTGAATGCTCCCGGTCTGTGTGGCGCAGCAGCACCCACAGCACCCGGCTGGACACGCTCCTGCCCGGGGAGCAGCTCGGTGCTGGCGGAGGGAGTCGCTCCCTGCAGCAGGAGCTGTTCCTGGAGCAGAGCTGTGGATGTGGGTGACTCCTCTGTCCTCAGAGCTTCACTATGGCCTGTAGCTGTCACAGGCCTCGCATCTGCTTTAGCCTTGCCCCAGTTGCAGGGGAGGCTCTAAACCAGGCGCTGTGCTCCACTCTTGTCTTCCTGTAGTTGACAAGACCGAATACATGGTTGGCAGCTACGGCCCTCGAGCAGAGGAATACGAGTTTCTGACCCCCATGGAAGAAGCCCCTAAGGGAATGCTGGCCCGGGGCAACTACAATGTCAAATCCAAGTTCACAGATGATGATAAGACTGACCACCTGTCCTGGGAGTGGAACCTGACCATCAAGAAGGAGTGGAAGGAGTAGCCCTTCCCGAGGCCAAACCCCAGAGCGCGTGAATCAGACAGTGGCTACCGTAGAAATTCCCCCCTGTACCAAAGTGCTGACATTGGAACCCTCCTCCCTTCCCCCCACCCCATTATGATTTGACCAGAGCTCAGTTTTGTATTGTGCCCCCTCCCCAGAGAATCTCTGAGTGCATTGTCCAAACCCTGCTGTCTGCATCTGGTCTCCAGCTGCCTGGCCTGGGCCATGCTGCTGGTGCAGGGCTTGGCGCCTTCCTGCTTCCCACCTGCCCTTATCCCGGTAGGTGCTGGAGGGGAGACACCTGTGCCCTCATAGCTCCTGTGCTTGGCCTCCTGTGCACAGCTCAGGGTAGTTACTGCCTCCAGCAGCTGAAGGACTTTGATGCCAGGCAGCTCCTGACCCCATGTGTTGGCTCAAGTCATGCTCAGCCTGCCCCTCCACCCCGCCGGTGGCTGGGAGCTCTGGCAGCTTCATTTGTGGATGTTCCCTGTAACCATGATGCCTTAATGTGTAACACGGATCCTCTAGGGAGGGGGCCCTGCCCCTGTTACACTTTTTAATCATGTCCCCTGGTTTTGGCATGGCGCTCATCTCGGTCACGCCCCTCATGGGTTATTAGGTAAGAGTCACAACTTCCCGCTTTGCTGCTGGTCCTTCCTCCCTCGAGACGGGACATCTCCAGAGGGAGGGTGGTGGGTGACGAGGGCACGGGAGGCACCGGCTCTGCCGTCACTTGCGTCGCTTCCTGTCCCCTCACACCCCGGCAGCCGCAGTGACTGCGAGCACTGAGGTTCCAGGCCAGCGCCCACCCTCCTGCCGGCTCTGGGCTGAGGATGGACTTGGCTGTTTCTGCAGCTGCTCCTGACACGGTCAACCAAGAGCTTGTGATGGACAGGCTCCAAAGCGGTTAATGCCTTATGTATCTGTTCTGCCTTTACAACCTGTGCCTGGCCTGGCGGCAGTTACTGCCTTCACACTCCGATGCCGCAGCGGTGCCCGGGGCTGCGCTGTCGGTGCCTGGAGTGGAGGAGCCCTTTGGGACCCCTGGGCCGGACAGGCCCGTTCCCGCTCCACAGCCGCCTCTTGGGATCAAACCACACTGAGGCTGTATTAGAACCGGGACCAAGTACATGTGGCTTTCTCGTAGCTACGTCTCTGCCTCTAACTCCCCCCTGCCCTGCCCCTAGAGAGGTTTTTGTTCATTTGATTTGGTGCAATTGTCTGTAAGTCCTAGACCCGGGTTAACAGGTTTGGAATCATCGTCTGCTTCTCCTTTTATGACAGTAAAATAAAACCTTTGAACTGACTGCCCACCGCGCTCTGCTTCTGCTCTGGGGCTGGCGGGGAGGGGGGATTCTGCCAATGCCCGGGGCAGGAGATGGTCCCTGGGCTTAGAGAGCGTGAAACGGGACGGGGCAGCGGCCCTGCTGCGGCACGAGGAGGGCGTGGGGCAGCGGCAGCTCCGGGGGCGCTGTGTGCTGAGCCCCGGCTCCCCGGACATTCCTGCACGCGCCGAGGAACGAAGGAGTGACCGGAGCGGGAGGCGCCGCCGCGATAAAAGCGCGCGGGTGTTTGCGTTCGGGATAAGGAAAGCGCAGCCCGGGAAAGCTCTTCATGAGCCCCGCAGCGCTGGGGGGAGCGGCCGCTGCTTGTCCGAGCCTCGGGCTCTGACCGAGGGGAACCGCCGAGCGCCGGCACCGGGAAAGCGGCTGCAGCCGCAGGGACCGGCCCGGGACCCGCGACAGCGCCGCCGGAGCCCGCGGACGCGCCGGCCCCGCGCGCCGGGACGTGCCCCCGCCGGCACGTGCCGCGGAGCTCCACCCCCGCGAGCGCAGGAAGCGCCGCCTTTCACTTCCGGGTCGGGTCAAACGGCGGCGGCCGCGGGCCAGTCAGAGTCCACCACGCTCGCCTGGCCGCGCGCAGGCGCAGTGCGCGCCGCCGGGGCCGTCCCAGTGCCACGTTCGAGGGCACGCGGCCGCGCGGAGGGGGCGGTGCCGACCAACCGCGGGTGACGCAGCGCGGGAAGGGGCCAGGCGGCGGGCAGGGGGCGTGTCCTGCGCGGTAACCAATAGGAGCCGCGCGACGGCAGGATCTGGCGCGCTGGGCCAATGGCGGGCGGCGGCGGCCGGGGAGGCGGCTTTATAAGGCGGAGGCGGCGCCGCGGCCGCACGTCCTGGCCCGGCCCGTTCCGACCCCGCCGCCGCCATCAGCGCCATGGCGGGGCTCTGCGCGCTCGCGGCCCTGCTCTGCCTCCTCCTGCTGCCGCCGTCCGTTGCCCCCGAGGAGGAGGACGGGGTCCTCGTGCTGCGCGCGGACAGCTTCGAGCAGGCGCTGGCGGAGCACCGGTACCTGCTCGTCGAGTTCTGTGAGCGCCGGGAGCGGGGGGGCTCTGGGGCCGGGGCTCCTGGGGGGGGTGGGGCCGGGCTGGATGGGAGCGGGGGGACCCCTCCCGGGAGCGGGACCCGCCGGCGCTGACGCCGCGTCCCGCAGACGCGCCGTGGTGCGGGCACTGCAAAGCGCTGGCGCCCGAGTACGCGAAGGCGGCGGCGAAGCTGAAGGCGGAGGGCTCGGAGATCCGGCTGGCCAAGGTGGACGCCACGGAGGAGGCGGAGCTGGCGCAGCAGTTCGGCGTGCGCGGGTACCCCACCATCAAGTTCTTCAGGAACGGCGACAAGGCCGCTCCCAAGGAGTACACGGGTGAGCCGGGAGCAGAGGGCAACGACGTGGCGCCAGGTCCGTGTCCCGGCCCCGTGCCCCCGGGAGCGCGGCTGTGCCCGGATAAGGTCCACTGGGGCTGAGCGGCGGCCGTGCTCAGCAGGTGCTGTTCTGGGGCGGTGGGAATGGGGCTGCCGCTGCAGGCTCCTGCGCTGGAGCTGGGGACATCCCTCCTGTGAGGTGAAGCAGATGGCTGAGGTTTGTGTAGGAAAGTGGAGCAACCCAAGCCCGGGTTGTGGCTCAGCTTGACTTATTTAAGCAGTGAAGCTCCCAGAACTGCGCCAAAAGCTTGAGTGGTTGGGAAAAGGAAACATGGGATGTAAACTAGAGGTGTGAGGAAGACCAAGAGCAGCGGGATCCAGCTAAACCAAACCTTGTGCTCGGCAGTGAGCTGACCACCCGCATTCTGTTTTGGAAAGGGAGAGGGGAAGCACTCGCATGGGAAGCCTGCTCCTGTAGGAGTGTGGTCATACTGGTCAAAGTTTAAGAAGGTGCTTGGCCGGGAAGGATGGATTCCGGGGAGCCCCTTGTACCTTGACTTGGCCACTGGGGATCAGCAGAACCGCCCTGGGAGGGAAGGGGAGAAAGCTGTGTAAACGCTGTGTTGGTTCTGCTGGTGCCGGGGTGGGGGTCGGGGTGAGCCGGGAGGCACAAAAGCAAGCGGGTGCCCCTGTCCCCACAGCTGGCCGGGAGGCCGAGGACATCGTGAGTTGGCTGAAGAAACGCACGGGCCCGGCTGCGGCCGCACTGAGCGACGCCGCCGCAGCTGAGGCGCTGGTGGAGTCCAGTGACGTGGTTGTGATCGGCTTCTTCAAGGTAGGGTTTGTGCTTCCCTCCAGGAAGCTGTTGCCTGGGCAGCGGGGGGGAGGCTCTCCTTGTGCTGTCCTGCCCTACTTGATCTTCCAGTTCTCTGGCAGGTGAGCCCTGGGATCTTTGTGCTGCGCTTTGGTGTGTCCCGTGTGAGACACCTCTCTCTGTTCTCCAGGATTCGGCATCAGAGGCTGCAAAGGAGTTCTTGCTGGCAGCTGAGGCTGTGGATGACATTCCTTTTGGGATTTCCTCCAGTGCTGATGTCTTCACCAAGTATGAGCTTAGCAAGGATGGTGTGGTCCTCTTCAAGAAGGTACTGGTTGGTGCAGCGCATGAGCACCACACTTGAGTCCTCTGCCTCTTCTTACCTTCTCTAATTAGTTAGACTCAAAGAGGGCAGTCCTGGATGAATCCATATCAGTCTGACTGTTTCCAAGCCTCAGAGCTGGGCAGGCGCAGAGAAGTGGAGCCTTTAGTCAGCAGAGAGAAGCCTCAGCAGCTCCTGGCCCTCCTGAAGCTGCTGGGCTCCGGGTCCAAGCTGTGGCTTCACTCGAGCTGTTTCTTGGCTGTGGCTGCAGTGCAGTAACAGCCCGATATTTAAAATACTGCTGGCTGTAGGCAGTGAGGTCTCCAAGCTACTCCATGTTCACTTGCAGCTTAGCAAAGCTGCTTTAACTCATACTCGAGATCGACCTCTGCTGTAGGCAGTCGAGGCTGCATGCAGGAGTTGTTCTGTGTCTGGCAGCGCTGTGGGTTCTGCAGGAAGTGAGTGATACCAGTGGAGTTCCTAAGAGGATTTGCAGCTCCAGCTGACTTAGGCTGGGGCGGTTGGGTTACATGCAGGGGGATCTGGCCATCTACAGAGTCAGAAATAAACTTACTCATGCCTTTTACTATCAAAATCCTAAACCACTGGCATGAATTTTTAACTTGGAGAGGACAAGTAGATGTTTTTTGGACTTTGTGGTACCACACACATGGGTGCAGTGGGGCAGGATAAAGCTGCTTTGGCTTCAGACTTAATAAATCTGTCATCTAATCGGTCATTGTTCTGACCAGTTTGGTGTAAGACAGGCTGAGGAGCTGAATGAATTCCTGTCACTCTTTGTTCAGCTAAAATAGCATGTTTGATTCCAGTACACCTGAATTTGCACTTTTGGTGTTACAAGCTTGCAGACTTCAGCTCTCAGACAGGGGGCCCTCAGATTAGTGTGGCTGAGGGTGCAAGTAAATTTCCTGCTGTGTGGTTCAGAACACCAGAGCTTTGCAGCTCAGGGAGTTGGGGTGAAGGGAGCAGCATTTTGTTCCTGGCTGACTCACTGCCTTTATCGTGCTCTTGCGCGCAGCTCTGTAAGCGACCTCCCTGCATGCTCCGTTCATGGCCAGCGCTGGGCTGAGACTGCTGCTTGCAGGGCTTCTCAGCTTTGGCTTGGGGGTGCCTTTGGGATGAAAAGCAGCTCTGCACCCAGCAGCTCTGTCAGGTGTGTGGGGAGTGGGAGGAGCCGTGGTCCAAAGGGCAGTTCAGGAGCTGCTGGGTCACTGCAGGAGCGCTCTGCTCGGTGTGGAGAAGGCGAGATGTGGATGCTGCCTCCCTGGTCCTGTTTTAGTGCCATGTCAGGAGAACTCTCAGATAAGCCTGTCACATTAAGGGGGTCTTTACCCCAGTAAGGGGTATCCAACCCCAAACCAAGGTGGAAATGAGCACCAATGCTGACAACACTAGGGCATAAGAAATAGTTTATTCTACCAGCAGTTCTGTGTTTGGACTCTGGCAGCTGGTTGGGTTTGTTGGATTGGCATTCTCCTCTTGCTCCCTGTGGAAGCTGTGCAGACCTGCAAAGACCCTTGAAGAACTGCTGAACGTCGCCTTAGCACCTTCGGAATACTCTGAAGTGTTTACAGAGTTGATCTCCAATGTGGAGGGTGTTGCTCAGCTCCTCAGCTGACGCTGCTCTGCCTCTTCCAGCAGGAGGTTATCTGAGCCCGGGCTCTTGCTGTGCCAGTGCCTCGGTGCTGCCCAGGCACGGGACTACCCTGTCCCTCCACATCCTCTTTAACCTTGATGGGCCTCCACAGCTGTTCCCTTCCCGGCCTGCCAGGGAGCTTCTGAGAACCTGCCCAGGGCTGCAGGTGATGTCCTGCTCTAAACTGGGCCCTGGCACCTCTCCTGGCCTGTGTTAAACAGGTGCCCTTGTCTCTAACAACAGACTGGACCAGCCCTGCAGAGCCAAGTCAGTGCTGCTCTGTGCAGTGACCGTGGGCTCAGTTGTCACACTTCCCACAGCACTGGTTCAAATGTGTGTCTGCTCTCACGTGGCTGATTCCTGCAGCAGAAGCTGCCTGTGCCCTGGGAGCTGCTTGCTGTGGAGCATCTACCTGATGCCTCCACAACGTTGAGGCTCAAGTCCTTGGACCTGTTTCACGTGTTGCTGTGTGACTGTGCAGAACAGTGCCAAGATTAAGCTGTCTTGTAGCTGCTCACCTTTTGCTGCTGGGGGCATGGTCTAAGGCTTTGCTTGCCAGGAAGATTTATACCTTGATCCGGGTGTTATGTGAATATGTGGTGACTTTGTTAAGAGCCAGAAGTCTGCTCTGAGCAAGTGCAGCTGAGATCTGCTGGGGCAGTGACTCTGGTGGGATCTGTGTGGGATCTGAAGTGTTCTAATGCAAGAATTTCTGGGTTTGCAGTTTGATGAAGGCCGCAACAACTTTGAAGGGGATCTCACAAAAGATAATTTACTGAACTTCATCAAGTCCAATTCGTTGCCTCTGGTCATAGAGTTCACTGAACAGGTTGGTCTCTAGATACATGGTAAGGCCTCTTCCCATTGCCACCACATGAATATATCAAAGCTTAAATTGCAGATTGTGTCGTATCTTGGAGCTGACACTAGTCTGGGGTTATGGAGGAGTGTGGAGAACACAAGGGAGTGGAGTCAAAGCTTCTGCTCAAAGTCCTCCTTTAACCTGGAGGCTCCTATGGCTTGCTCAGAATACCAGACCCAAGCTGGTCTTGACACCAGTTTGCCTCTTCCAGAAATAAAGTTTGTTTTCTATTCCTCAGACTGCTCCTAAAATCTTTGGAGGGGAGATCAAGACTCACATCCTGCTGTTCCTGCCAAAAAGCGTGTCTGACTATCAAGAGAAGCTCGACAACTTCAAGAGTGCAGCTGGGAACTTCAAAGGGAAGGTGAGATGGGTTTCTTGCATTATGAGTTAAGTGGCCACCTCCTGCAGAGGAGTGCAGCACGGTCTGTCGCTCTCCATTTCACAGTTGTGGAGCAGGACTTGTAGCAGCTCTCACTCTGCCTGTGCCTCATGGTGAAGGTGACTGAGTCACTGGCTTGCACAACTGCTGAGGCAATAGCAATCAACTACAGACTTTCCCTCTTGTGGATGTAAATCTGACCCAGCCCTTAAATCAGGGCCAGGCTGTGCCCGTGCTGCAGCTCGTGTTTGTGCTCTGGCAGGGTGCCCCCTTCATGGGCTTGGAGAAGGAAGAGTGGCCAGTTCAGCCACTACCTGTGGGAGTGTGTGTGTACTGTGTTGTTAGCCAAGAGGTGCTCATCTTCACCAACTGCCTTTGACTTTTTCCTCCAAAGATCCTCTTCATCTTCATAGACAGTGACCACAGCGACAACCAGAGGATTTTGGAGTTCTTTGGCCTGAAGAAGGAAGAGTGTCCAGCTGTGCGCCTGATCACCCTGGAGGAGGAGATGACCAAATACAAGCCGGACTCGGATGACCTCACAGCTGACAAGATCAGAGAGTTCTGCAATAAGTTCCTGGAGGGCAAAATCAAGGTAAGGAAGAGAAGTGCTGCTGGCAAAAGTACCAGGGCATGAAGACTGCGGGCCAGGGAGCTGGCACCCGAGTGCAGTCGGAGCTGCCAGCAGTCTGTGGAAGGTGTGAACTTGTGCAGCCCAGTTCAGAGCTTTCAGCTCTTGTCTCGGGAGCAGGCTCTATGCAGCTTATACCAGAGGTGACTGTTTGGTGAAACTCAGCCCTGTGGGAATGGCAGCAATATCACTTCCTTCCTGTGGAGCTCAGTGGCAGCTCTCTGCAGAGCAGCACCTGATATTCCCACTGGCTTTGGATGGGGAGGAGACTTTATGTAGGAGAAGAGGAAGTGGCTGCTTCAGTGCTTGCTCACAGCCTGTGATTGGGGTGCTGAGGTGGGTGGTTAAGCTCTGGGTTGCCAGGATGATTGCGTGTGCATTCCAGCAGCTGTGTGGCTATCTCTGAATTTCACTTCTTATTCTAGCCCCACCTGATGAGTCAGGATCTTCCTGATGACTGGGACAAGCAGCCTGTCAAAGTTCTAGTTGGGAAGAACTTTGAAGAAGTTGCTTTTGATGAGAATAAGAATGTCTTTGTGGAGTTCTGTGAGTATCTTTCAGCAGCTGATTCCAAGTAACTGGCATGAAAGGAGTGCCAAAATTCCGCATGACCGGGATTAGGGAGGAAGCACCCTACAGGATCTAAGCTGCAAAGGGAGTGCCCTGGCTGAAAAGACGTGTGTGAACTGTCTGTGTGGGCACTTGGGGGGGGCTGGTGGTCGCTCATTAGGCTGCTGGTGCTAACTGGCTTTCTGTAATTAACAGATGCCCCCTGGTGTGGTCACTGTAAGCAGCTGGCTCCGATCTGGGACAAGCTGGGAGAGACCTACAGGGATCATGAGAACATTGTCATTGCCAAGATGGATTCAACAGCCAATGAAGTGGAGGCAGTGAAAATCCACAGCTTCCCCACACTCAAGTTCTTCCCTGCAGGCTCTGGCAGAAATGTAAGGAGGCAGCTGACCAGGGTGGTGTAATGAGGGAGCCCCAGGAACACTTAGCTGCCTGCTGGAGCTGGCTTGGATGAGCCTTTGGGAGGCCTCTCCACTCTGTCAGGATAGAACACACCAAGTCTACAGAACATGAGAGACCCTGTGTGGGAGCTGGGCTGTAGGAAGGAGTTTGGTGGGGGTGGGAGTGGGGAAAACAGGGAGCATAGAGGACAGTGTGCTCATCTGCAGGCTATTCTTTCCTCGCAGTGATCTCTGAAGTCTAGTGCCTGAGCTGTTTTCCTTCGTCTCATATGGGTGAAGGTGAATTTTTAAATTCCCTTTTGCTTGGCATGTTGACTTTTGCTCAGAGAGAGAATTCTCCTCCCCAGGCCTGTGGTTCTGTAGGTGCCCGTAACCATTATCCTGATGTTTTTCCCTATGTAGGTAATTGACTACAATGGGGAGAGGACGCTGGAAGGCTTCAAGAAATTCTTGGAGAGTGGAGGTCAGGACGGGGCAGCAGCTGATGATGTGAGTAATGTGAATGTGGCGGCAATTCTGGGCCTTCAGAACAAGGAGTGGGGGTCAGACCTGGTGCTGGGCTTCTGTCCTCTGTCCCAGATAAGATTCTGGGTGGTTCTGTGGCAGGAAAGGTATTGCTGGTGATCAGCATGTTCACCAGCATCAAATTTTCAGTTGCAGCCTGGCTGCCAGTGGCTTGTAAATGACACCTTTCATTGGCAGCACTTCAGTTGGGTGTGAAATAAATGCTTTTCAGAGGCCTAAACAAACGTGTGGAAACAGTTGGTGAAGCTGTAAATGTTCACAGGCTGTCTCTGGCTGTTGTGCAAACTGCTGGAGTACTTTAGGGGCTTGTTCTTTACTGAGAAGTCCTGCTCAGCTCTTGAAACTTAAGTAGTATGATGCACATTACGTGTCCTGTGTATCTAGGGTGGAGGCTTTTACAAGTGAGGTACCAGCTTCCAGGGGTTTCTAATACGTAATGTCCCAAAGACGTTCAGAGCTCTTGGTGGAAGTCTCTGGGTGTTTAACATGGCAGCAGAGAACAGTGAACAGATCAGATGTACTGTTCTAGGATCTGCCTAGTGCACCAGAAACCAGCAGCTGTCTGTAACCTTTTACAGGATCTGGAGGACCTGGAGACAGATGAAGAAACAGACCTTGAAGAAGGTGATGATGAAGAGCAGAAAATGCAGAAGGATGAATTGTAAACAGAAGACTGATCGACATCACCCAAAATATCAGACACTAAATTGGCTGCTGTTATGCAGCCCAGCGAGTCAGAACCATTGAGATTTAAAGCAGAAGGTGAATGACTGAAAATCCAGGGATTGGCTTTTAAAGTAACACTTTCCCCTCACTTGTCTGTACACTCGACTCTTTTCTGTTTGGCTTTTGAGAAGGGATCTGTCACCAGGGAGCCGGCCCCGCTGCGCTCCTCCTTAGTGGGATGTACTCTTTTGTACACAGCTTTTGCTTGAAGTATTCTGTTCTTGTGGGTAGAAGCCGATTGTGAAGCCGCAGCACGAGCCCTGGCTCAGCCTCCTGGAGCTTTGCCACTGACACCTCCCAAGAAAGATTTTTATTTTTTTTTTCCCTTTGTTTCTTTTAAAACTGCAGCCTGCAGCTGATTCCTGCACCTGGCAGGGTCCTTAATGCTCTCAGCAGCTCTTCCCTGGAATTGGCCTTCAGTGTAGGTAGGCAGCCTGGTGAGAGGTGTATATGCAGGTGCTTCTCTTCATGCTGGCCAGATGTTTCCTTTCCCTTCTGCTTTAAGACACTTGGAGATGACTATTCTGATCACCCAGAAGGGTGGAGTACTGTGCACTGGCTGTGGCAGGCTCTGGGGTGGAGGTGAGCGCTCGCCAGTGCAGGCGAGACCTGGCTCTGTTGCCATCCTTTGATCAAATGCAAGACTTTGCAATCATTTTCCATGCATTATTTGGAGGGGGTCGACAGGGGGGTGGTGTGGGAGGGTCTGATGAGCTGGATCAAACAGGACACTTGCAATTATTGGGGTTTGGGGAGGAGCTTGAATGGGGGAGTGCCTCAGAGGCCTGAGCTGCATCAGGCTGGTTCTTAGCATTCTGCTACAGTAACATTGGAACTCGATTTGTTGGCCAAATAAAGTTGAGATTTTAATACTACTCTGTCTCTGTCTTCTTTGGAATAGGGGTGGATGTTTGCTTTCTCAAAACTCTACCCATGGTTTTCAGAGAAAGGGCACTTCCAAAACACTTGCAGCATTGCAGGTGCCTTCTGATGACTTAACCTAAAGCCGCTTGTGTTGTCTGTAAAGGGAAAAAGCTTCAGCTTGGCCATGTCCTGTCCAGGTTAGACCTGTTCTATTAGCAGTGATCAGACAGGGGCTTGGGCTAGCTGGCCCTCACTGCTCCTGAGCAGTTAACCGAGGACTCTGCCTACGGCAGGACCTGGGGCTGCCTGCAGCAGTGGTGCTCAGGCTCACATGACCCGTGAGCTGCGCTGCTATTTCCAAACCAGTCACTTACTGCTGGAAATATTTTTGTAAGGAAATAATGCTATAAATGTCAGAGGGGAGGGCAGGGTGAGGCTGGAGGGCAACACGTGAGGCTACTGGTGTCTGCCACTGAATGTGGGTGCTTGGGGTGGTAGAACAGGAGCATGTTCCACGTGTGTCTGCAGCTGCAGCCTCTTCTGTGGCTCCCTGGAGCAGGGCCCTGGCATGGTCTGCACAGGCCTTTGGCGCAGCAGAACCAGGGCTGGGGCGGAGGAGGGGGCTCTCCTCATGCACCGAGGCTCCTCTTGGTAGAGCAGGGCATTGTCAGTCACCCTGTGTACACAGCTAATTGCTGTTCCAAGAAAGGAGGCTAAAAGCAGTTCGCTCAGTCTGTTAGTGTTCTGTCTGCAGTAACCTTGAGCAGGGATGCTCAGTGCAGAGATCAATGCGTTTGCCAGCAGATAAACAAGTGCAGGCGGTTCTCTGGTGTGTGCCTGAGCTGCTGCAGGGGCAGAATGTGGGAGCTCTGTGACTCCTGACACGCCTACCTGGACAGGCCCATTGGCACAAACCAGGGCACCATGTGCTTGTGTATCTTCAATGACCAGACTGTGATGGGGAAAAGCACAGGAGAGCAGTTGCTTGAACCCTTGGTGGATCTGAAAGATTCCTGTGTGGTAGATGGGTTTGACAGCTACAGCTGGAGGGTAACAAATGCAGAAGTGTCTGGCGGTGGTGCTGTTCTTCAGCTATTTTCAGATAGTTCTACAGCAGCCTGCCCTCGTGTTAAGTAGGACATTGAACACTGTGGACTGGCATCATGGGCTTCTGGTTCTGTGCCTGCATCAGGAGCACCAGTAGCACTGCTGTGCTCCAATATGCTGGTGCTGATCCTCGTTAGCTGTATGCTGCCTCACTGCCGTGCTGGGCAGCACAGCTCATTCTACTCCTTTCAAATTGTCTGATGCAAGTACAGCAGAGTGACTTAGCTCTGAATGTATTTGGCACCGCAGCTTTGACACGTCCGCTGGTTCCCCTCATTGGTGCTCATGCTTGTGCCTTTTCCCTGGCACACGTGTCTGTGTGTGAGGGCTTGCTGCTGGGAAGCTCTGGTTTTGGGGCTTTGGTGCCTCCTCGGAAAAGCTTTCCATGAAAAAGCCAGAGCAGGTCTGACCCCTTGGATGGGGACATGGACAGGTGGGTGGTAAGATGAGACACCCACTTCTGCCCAAAAGTGGCTGCTGGCCCAGGCAGCTCGATTACGAAGTGTCATGGCAAAGAGCATGAGCTGCATGTCCTCAAAATAGCCCGTGGGAGCCTTTATAACACAGCACTGGGGCAGAAACATCAGTCCTGGGCCAAGGGCCTGCGGGAAGCACATGTGCTTACTGCTGCCTCCTGTGTCCTGCATGGGAGCATAGGGAGAGCTTCACAACAAGGGAGACCCGACCCACCAGGGACACGAGACGGGTGTGAGGGACTGCAGTGGTGCGGCTGCCATCACTCCGCTGCTGAGGAGGGACCCAACACACCAAAACAGAAGAGGAAAAGCAGCACCTGGAGGACAGTGAGCGGCAGGACGAAGCACTGAGCAACGTGCGCCTCCTCTCCCCCCGCAGTGCCTGAAGGCTGCCACCAGCATGAAGGACTATTACCTGGTCTCAATGCCGCGGTACAGTCGGTACAGGCAGAAACTGAGAGCTGCACGCACCGTGCACTTCCCCAATGACATCGTCTTTCAGGACCACATCAGGCAGGGGGACCTGGAGCAGGTGGGCAGGTTCATACGTGCCAGGAAGGTGACACTGGACACCATCTACCCCTCTGGTGAGTGCTGCCGGGGTTGGCAGAGCTGGAATGTGCAGTGGCACACAGGGAGCTGTGTGGCCAAAGCTAGGATATGGCCCCCATCAGCAGGGTGATGGGTTGGAATCGAGTCGTCTTCCTCCCCACTGAGGAGCGGTGCCTCAACATTGCCAAGCAGGGCCCAAGAGAGGCCCACGCCAGTGCCCCAAAATCTTACCCAGCAGCGTGGCCAGTGTATGCTGCAGGAAGGGGGCAGGTCGACCCCTGCATCCCTTCAAGGCACGCTAGGGACCTACAGTGTGGTGGGATCTAGGCAAGCAGCAGTGGGCACAGGCTGGTCTGCGAAGCCCTGCATGGGACCATCCACCCTCTCTGGAGCATGTGCTCCCGCTCTGTTTCTCACAAACACCATCCTCTCTGCGTATCTGGGTGTGTGGACTTGCAGCAGGTCTGTCTGTGGGAAGGCATCGTGCTGTGGTTGCACCAAGCCTCACGAGCAACTGTTCATGGAATGCTGTGATCCACAGTGTGCGGTCCAGAGGGCAGGTTTGTCCCTTTCCTGTGCTTGGCTTTGGCTTCTGCTGTCACATGGACATGGAGACAGGGTCTCAAATGACCTCGAGCTTCCTCCTGTCCATGCCGATTGCTTCAACACTTGCTCCATGAGAGCTTCCAAAACTTGGACAGCACAGAACCCTACACGCACTCTGCCCATGTCCAGTGTGAGTGCCGCCCGGAACCTGGGGCTGGCTGCTGGCCAGGGACTTCTGCAGGAAGGGGCATCTCCTCCTCCCTGGATCTGTCCTGCCTGCCCCAGTGCGGAGGTGGTTGCTACCCCAGCTTGGGTAGGGCGTGGAAGGGGAACAGAAACCTGCGGCAGCTCCTCTTGCTTCCTCAGTCTCTTTCTTTCCCCAAAGTCATCCCCCTGATAACACGGGTTTGCTGCTTCGGTCCTTCCTGGGCCGTGGACACTTGTGAGCTCAGCACTAAGCCTCCTGCCCCGCTCCAGGGCTAACAAACCCTCTCCTTCCAGGCATGGCAGCCCTCCACGAAGCTGTGCTCACTGGGAACCTGGCCTGTGTCGAGCTCCTGGTTAAATACGGCGCCGACATCCACCAGCGAGATGAGAACGGGTGGACGCCCCTGCACATGGCCTGCAGCGACGGCTACGCCGACATCGCCAGGTGAGGAGGGAGCTCCTCGCTGGGCCCGGCATAGCCCCGAGCACCGGACCGAGAGCGGCGGGGCTGCAGCGAGCTCCGGCGCCTCCTCCTGGGGGCTGCCCGGTGTCGGCGGTGCACAGGGGCCTGCCCGGGCTCAGCCCCCGTCTCCTGCAGGTACCTCATCTCTCTCGGGGCAAGCCCGGAGGCCACCACCGACAGCGGCGAGAAGCCCTCGGACCTCATCGACCCCGAGTACCAGGACCTGGTGCAGCTCTTCGGGGCCGCCACGATGGGCTGAGGCGGCGCTCAGCGGGGAGCGGAGCGGGGCCGGGGCCGGGCCCGGGCTGGGCCTGGGCGGGCGGGCAGGAGCTCGCCCGGAGCTGCGCCCCGGGAACCACTTTGTACTTTTCCAATAAACCAAGTGCCGGCACCGCCGGGTCCGTGCGCGGGGCGGGGCGGGGCGGAACCCGCGCGGGGCGGGACGGGGGCGGGACCGGGCGGAGCGGAGCGGAACGGAACGGAACGGAACCAGATCGGGGCGGGACCGCGCATGCGCGCTGCGGCGCTTCCGTGGCGGCCCGAGGGCGAGCGGAGGCGGGAGCCGGGCCCAGGTGAGGGGCGCGCGTTGCCATGGCGACGGGCGGGGGGCGGCCCGCGGCCTAGCCCCGGCCTGGCCGCCCTCTCCTTTCTCCCCGCAGCCACCGAGCCGAGCCGCGCCGCCGCCGCACCGCCGCCATGGCCAGGTGAGCCCCGCCCGGCCCCGGGCCCAGCCGCGGGCCCGGGCCCGGCTCAGCCCCGCGCTTCGCTTTCAGCTCCCCCGTGTCCCGCGTGGTCTACAACGGGAAGCGGAGCGGCGGCCCGCGCTCCCCCGGCGCCGGCAGCGAGATCTTCACGCCGGCCCACGAGGAGAACGTGCGCTTCATCTACGAGGGTGAGCGGGGCGGGGGCGGGGGCCGGGCCCGGCGGCGGCGGCGGGCGGCCTCTCACCCGTGTCCCCGCAGCCTGGCAGTGCGTGGAGCGCGACCTGCGCAGCCAGATGGGCTCCGAGCGCGGCCTGGTCGAGGAGTACGTGGAGAAGATGCCGAACCCCAGCCTGAAAGGTGAGCGGGGCCGGGGGCTCCCCGCGGCTCCTGCCGGCCCTGGCCCGGCCGCACCGCCCCGCGGCCTCTGCCGCCAAAGCCCCTCCTGTCTCCCCGCAGCGTTCAAACCTGTCGACCTGGGTGATCTGAAGAGGAGGAACACACAGGACGCGAAGAAGTCCTAAGGCGAGTTCCCGCGGATCGGCTGCGCTCCAAGGGCCTCAAGCAGATTTCATTTGAGATTTTGTGTTGATTTCCTCCTCTGGTCTGTGCTCCCAAAAGCCTACGGGAGAGCCGGTCAGCTCCGGGGCTGGCTCGGAAGCTACCTGAAATCAAAGGTGCTCGCTGAGGATGCTCAGAGCCTGTTGCAAAGGGTTCCAGTCCCCCACTCATGGCTTTCTCTGGCCTCAAGCTGTCCTTCTCCTCTTCATGCTGGGCTCACAGGTCTCCTGTTCTCCTTCCATCTCTGCCCCTGGTGCATTGTGTGTGTGGGCTGCCTGGGCTCTGGTGTGTGGCAGGGCTCAGGGCAGAGCAGACCGGCCGCGTTGTCAGCAGAGGCAGCGCTAGTTCTCTGTCTCCTTCTGTGCACCGAGGATTTACCACTGCTGGGGAAGAAGGAG